TGACAGCAACATTTAAAATGTTACCAAGCTATGAGAATTTTCCAAAGCGAAGGATGAGCAAGGATTCGGAATCAAGGACGAAGGAACATCTCCCCCTCAACCCAATCCCCATTACCATTCATCAGTCTAGAAATAGTATTCTTCTTTTTTCGGTGAAAAAACTTCATATTAGCGTCTGCCCCCTTAAGCCAGTGTTGCTTGGCTCTCTGCCTCCAGTAGGCATCCTACTGAGCCTCAGTACAGCTTAACAACTGTTCTAGGCGCTGGAACTCAGCAAGGGAAGCCGGGTCAGTACGCCCCCTCAGTCGCTGCTGCTCTCTTGTCAGTTCATTGATCCGTTTTCCGTACTTATGATACCGGTCTCCACCGCATCGTGTTAACCGGGTCCCACAGTACTGAATACAGTTCTGTAATCCCTGGCCCCTCCCCTCCTGCCAGGACTGCTCTACCACATTCCTGCACCCCTCATCGTGCAACCAGGCCATCTCAAAACGAAAACCCCTCCTACGAGGCCCAACACCCCCAGCGGAGTCTTGAATCCCCAGAAAGAGAGCCGAGTGATCAGACTTACGGGTTCTCAGATTCATCACCTTAGCCCCCATCACCATACTCCGTCACTCATCTGTCACTAGAACTTTATCGAGCCTCTCCTCCATCCAGTTTACTGTCCCCTTCCCCTTTTCCCATGTGTACGGATAACCAACCATAGGCAACTGAGCAAGCCCACAGTCCTCAATAGCTTCCCCAAAACCGCGTAGGAGGCTATTCGGATGCGGATTTCCCCCTCTCTTCTCATTCTGATATAACAAATCATTGAAATCTCCAATAACAATCCACGGGAGATTCGACCTACCCGAAAGTGTTCTCAAAAGATCCCATGACTCAGCGCATCTTGTTCATTCAGAAAACCCATAATAACCCGTCATTCGCCATTCAGGAGAGCCTGCAATAGTTACTCCAACATCAACATAGTTCGTTGAGTAACTGATTAGTCGTGTCATACTATTCCTTTTCCACAATAAAGCTATACCACCACTTAACCCATCACTATCAACATAAAACAGTCCTTCATAGCCAATCTTAACACGTAATCGTTCTGCATGATCGCGTGCCACTTTAGTCTCCATTAGAAATACAAAGTTGGGCTGCTTCCGGGACACCATGTCCACAATCTCCCGAACTGTCCGTGGATTACCCAAGCCACGGCAGTTCCAACTTAGAGTACTCATTGATTCGGGCGGGTCTGGGAACCAGAACCCGCCTGCTACAAGTTTTTTGGAATTTCGGCCATGACAATATCTCCTCCCTCGCACCTTCGTCCCTCACCATCCGTCTCCCCCCGGCGCCGTTTGGCAACCGCCACCACCTCCCCCTCAACCACCCCCTCGGTCCGGTTCCCACCCCCCGAAGACCGCCCTACATCCGGCCGATCCACCTGCGGTTTCTGCCCCACGGCCTGCCGACCCGTCGGAAAAAACCAGCTGCCCCCCACCGGCCTAGGGCCACGGCTCCCTCCTGCCCGTAGCTCCGGGCCATACAAATACTCCTCTACCGGCATCTTCGAGTCCCTTGCCCCACGAAAAAACTGATACGGGTGCCCTAGCATCCCGCAGAAATAGCAATAAGTATGAAGGCGTTCGTACTTGAACGTGACCCAGCAACTCGTCTTATCACGTTTTATAAAATTCATTCGTCTTTTCAAGGGCTTGTCAACAGGCAGCGAAACCCTAATACGGTGATACATCTTCCACGGGGCATTGTCGAAGCGATCATCAAATTTCACAAACGTACCCAAGAAATTTCCAATTTGTTCCAGAATCCGACTAGACGAATATCCATTCGGCAGTCCATGCAGTTGGACCCATAAATCCACCGTATCTAACACTACATCAACCGGCATAACTCCATCAGGGACCTATTTACACACGAGCGTACTGTTATCAAAAGACCAGGGCCCCTCGTTCAGAACTCGTTCTATGTCCGTTACATGATGAAAAACAAACAGGAAATGACCAGGCTCAACCTCCGTTGCCTCAACCCAGCTCACCGGCTGCCACACCGATGCCAGGACCTGACTCATAAATTCCAACCTGACTAGCTTTCGTGTCAAGAACTTTCCCACCACCCCCCAAACTCTCCTCCACCTCGCCGCCCCCCTCCTTGGCACCGTCCCCTTCATCCGGCAGAAACGCCGTGGCTTCCTCCTGGAGCACGATATCAGCCCACTTGGCCGTCAGGCCAGCCACATCCGGTTCAGTTGTCGTCGAAACCATCTAGCATGCAGGGATGAACGTCGCTGGCTGTCGTTGTCGCAATCGGAACTCGTCCGTGAAGAAACGTCGAAGAAACGACCGGAGAACCTAGAAACCCTAGGCAGAGAGAAGTTAATAAATAAATAAAATTAAATTAACTATTATTAATTGTTTGATTTAGTTAAAATATCAATATAAGTGTTTGGTTAATTAGCTTTTTGCAACCTTAAAATGCTAAAATTTAAAAAGCTACTCTAAGAAACTTTTTCAGAAAAAAAATTATACTAAACAGCTATTAGGGGTGTCAATGCGGGTCGACCCGCCCCATCGCGGGCTTTTAATTTGGCGGGCTTGGAACTACACAGTCCAAGCCCGTCCCATGCGGCCTTGCGGGTCTCAAGGGCTGGCCCGCGGGTCATCAGTTCAATTTAAAAATAAAACAGTAAATAACATATAAACATGTTAAAACCGCTTGAAATATGTCGCTATTTATTGGTTGTTTTTTCGCATCCTCACGGTGTATGATACACCTCAATGCACCGAAAACTTCAATAAAATCCATCAACCTCGCCCAAATCTCACCAATCGATACCGCGCGTTAAGTAGAATTGCGGAAGGGTGATCAAAGCTAGGGTTCAACGACACACTCTATTTCTCTCTCGGCTTCAGGTTTTCCCTCTACAGCCCCCAGCTATGTATAATACATATATAAATATTATGTTTGCTGGAGTTGGAAGCGATTTAGCAATTCATAAATATGTATGAATTGATGATTTAGTTTTGGTAATTCGTAATTGTTTCCTAGAGTTGGAGGCGAGACGAGGACGGGAGAACCGGAGAACTGCGTACTCTAAGAATTATTGAATTAAGAATTGGCGAAGGATTATTGAATTAATTGGAATTCTCCCTTCTGCGCACTCTTAGATGGGTCAGATCTACACACTGCCTATGAATGAAGATATTATATATATATATATATATATATATATATATATATATATATATAATTTTTATTTTTTTAAAATATGGCCTGGCCCGCGCGGGCTTTAGCCATCCGCGGGCCAGACCCGTTTGGCCCGCATTTTCACGGGCCTAATTTCCTACGGTCCTAACCCGCCCCACCACGGGGGCAATTTATATCCTACACCTCGGCGCGCGTTGCACTATGCGCCCAGATGCAAAACGACGTCGTTTTAATTTATTTTTTTTTTGAAATTTCCCGCCCCAGTGAATGACAGTAGTTTTTTCTTTAAAAAAAACCCGCTATTCAAGAATGTACATAATTATATAACAAAATATACATACTCTTTTTAAAAGATAATACACATAATCTAACATAATACATAATAAACATAAACTTTTAACATAATACACATCAACTCTTAACATAATACACACAAATTTTCTGATTCGGATGTACATAATTGTATAAAAAGAATGTACATAATTGTATAAAAAAATACACATAACTGTATGAACCAATACACATAACGTTGTAAACAAATACACATAACGTTGTGAACAAATACACATAATCCCAGCAACTTCCTATCGCGCCTCCCAACACGACCCCAAAACGACGTCGTTTTGGGAGGCGCCCGGCGCACAGTGCTATGTGCGCCGTGGTGTAGGATATAACGATAGCACCACGGGGCGGATGCGGGCTAACCCGCGGGCTTCGACCCACTTTGACACCCTTAGCAGCTATCAACTAACAGCTAATTTATAAACATATTTCTACAACAACTAATGTTATCAAATATTTATACCATCTAATTGACATAATCAACTAACAACCATTTACCAAACAGGGCCATATTTATAATTAATTCAAGATACAATGTAATTAGATGGACATTATAAATCGAATCATAACACAATTAGAATGAGATGTAAGGTTTAGAATCTACTGTATTTAAATTATGAATCTACGGTTTAGAAATTATGAATCTAAAGTATAAATTTTATGAATCTACAATATAGAAATTATGGATCTACAGTACAGAAATTATGAATCTATAATATAAAAATTTTGGATATTGAACCGTGTCAACCTTGCAATGTGCGCACGTGCTCACTGTTGGTGATAATGAACCAAAATCGATTTAATATCCCAAAAATAATATTTATATATACACTCGAAAATATATATAAAATATTATTGGATATAATATCCGAAATATATATATATATATATATATATATATATATATATATATATACATACAAATATATATAAAACGGATCCAAAGTTATATATACATATATATCTATGAAAAGATATACCAATATATATCAACCAAAATGGAGTTATAATCCTAAGATTATAACTCCAAACAACAAGAAAGTAGAAAGGATTTTTTCTTAGAGTATAATCCAAAACAAGAAAGAAGGAGAAGGAAGAAAGAAGAAAGTACGAGTTAGGCGAGGTGCCTTTCTTTCCCTAAAACCTTATTTGCCACCTCCCAAAAGTCCTAGGAGCGTTGTGGCCTAGGTTTCCCATGATAAAACGTAGAACGGTTCGACGTTTGAGCACCCAAACGAACGAACCCGGCGAACAAGAGCACGGGCAGAACACAATAGCAAGAAAGGAGTAGGAGCAGAATTTTGAGAAGAAAAGGTGCTTAACATTCGTGCCCGTAGGTGCCGAACACAGTACCGAAAATTGGTGTAACTTGACCCTCAAAACCTGCCAATTTCCGGATGATATTCGTGCCCGTAGATGTTGACGCACACGACCTCGAACTTATGAAAAATATTATCCTACAATATTATAAGTGTTTTTTCTCTGCTGGAACCCCGGGAACTGAGGAGGATTTCTTTGAGGGAATTGTCCCGCGAATCACGCAGGCACAGAATGAGTTTTTGTTACGTCCATTTGAGCTGGATGAGGTTAAGAGTGCACTGTTTGCGATGTTCCCGGACAAGGCACCAGGTCCGGATGGAATGAATTCAGGTTTTTACCAACATATTTGGGATGTGGTTGGGGGTGATGTGGCGAGCTTTATAATTAATTGTGTTGAGTCCTGTGATTTCCCGCCTGGGTTGACTGAGACTAATATTTTTCTAATCCCTAAGAAGAAAACCCCGGAGTATGTCACTGATTTGCGGCCTATAGCCCTCAGTAATGTGGTCTATAGAGTTATGGCAAAAATGCTGGCTAATAGAATGAAGCCGTTAATGGAAGGAGTAATATCTGAGTCACAAAGCGCATTTATCCCGGATAGATTAATAACGGATAATATACTATTAGCTGCAGAGGTGGGGCATTTTCTGAATAGGAAACAATGTGGAGTGGGGGGATGGAGTGTCCTTAAACTAGACATGGCGAAAGCATATGATCGGGTAGAATGGCCCTTCTTACGAAGGATGATGTTGGCGCTGGGATTTCATGCTGGTTGGGTGGAGTTGATTATGAAGTGTGTGACCTCTGTCTCATATAATATTCAGGTGAATGGATTAAGATGTGATCCTATTATACCCACTCGTGGAATAAGGCAAGGGGATCCTTTGTCCCCATATTTATTTATTATTTGTGCAGAGGGTCTGTCTTTGATGTTGCAGCAGGCACATAATGTGGGATCAATACATGGTTGCAGGGTAGCAAGAGGAGCCCCCCCCCCCTCCCCCCCCCCCCCCCGATTTCTCACTTATTATTTGCAGATGATAGTCTACTGTTTTTTAAGGCCAAGGCGGAGGAAGCAACTGAGGTTAAAAGGTGTCTATCTATTTATGAGAATTTATCCGGGCAGGCAGTAAATTATCACAAATCAAATATATGTTATAGCAGAAATACTAGTGATGAGGATAGACAAATTGTGGCTCAGATTTTGGGTGTGGCACATGCACCGAATTATGGCAAATATTTGGGACTCCCCTCTTTTATTGGAAGGCACAAGAAAGCAGTTTTTGCGTATGTGGAGGATAAAATCCGTCAAAGGATTGGATCATGGAATAAAAAACTGCTATCACAGGCAGGGAAGGAAATTCTTTTGAAAACTGTAGCACAATCTATGCCTACGTTTTCAATGAGTGTTTTCTTGTTACCTGTATCAGTGTGTACGACGATAGAAATGACGATGAATCGCTACTGGTGGGATTCTGGAACTGACAGGCGAATACACTGGAAGGCATGGGATAATTTATGTGTACCAAAGAAATATGGTGGGCTAGGATTTAAAGATTTGCGAGCATTTAATCTAGCAATGCTAGGAAAGCAGGCGTGGAGAATGTTGACTAAGTCTGACTCTCTTGTGGCACGTGTGTATAAGGCCCGGTATTTTCCGAGAGGATCGTTCTTTGATGCACAGGTGGGAAATAATCTCAGTTTCTACTGGCGGAGTATCATGGCAGCAAAGAGTATTATTTGTGGTGGGGTCAGGCGCAGAATTGGTAATGGGGAGTCTACATTCATATGGACCCACCCATGGCTACGAAGGGACCACGACCCAATGATACAAACAGAAATACCAATACAGTTGAAGGAAGCCAAGGTGGCAGGTTTGATAGATCAGCAAACTGGTGTCTGGGATCCCTCAATCTTAATTGATTTATTTCAACCTAGTGATGTGGCGGAAATTGTGAAAATACCCATCTCCCCGGAATATAATGATACTTGGTACTAGCATGGGGACTTAAGAGGAGAGTATACTGTTAAAAGTGGATATAGGCTAGTAATGGGAAATTATCAACACACGGATGGGGTATTTACAAAATGGTTATCCCTATGGAAATTAAAAATCCCCCCAAAATGGAGAATGTTTCTATGGAGAGCCATTAGTGATATATTGCCCACTACTACAAACTTGCTTATAAAGAGGGTGGATGTGGATCCACGATGTGCCATGTGTGGATTATCTCAAGAAGACACAATGCATGCTTTGGTGTTGTGTGATTTTGCAAGGAACATTTGGGATAAATCTAACCTCACAATTCCAAATATAATCACAAATATTTTTTATGTTTGGTTTGATGAACTTCTAAATGTTCTAGACTTTTATGGGATATTCTATGCAGTAGCAATACTTTACAATATATGGAGAGCAAGGAACAAGGCCGTATGGGAAGCAACATTACCACGACCGGAGGTGGTCCTCAAAATAGCCGCTGCTGCCAAGCTGGCTTGGACTCGGGCGCACCCGCAGCAGCCCACAGTACCGCCCACCACGCTCACAACCACGCCAAATCCGTTCCAAGGGAACGCCAACCCCCATGCGCCAGAACCCTCCGCTGCCGAGCCGCCTGGACCGCCAAGGCGCATATGCCGTGTAGACGGGGGATATTTGCAGGAGACAGGACAAGCTGCTTTGGGGGTGCTCTTACTAGACACGGATGGGGGATATGTTTCGGCATTCAGTGGACCACTACAAGGATGCTCCTCTCCACTTATGGCAGAGGTGCTCGCATGTAAAGAAGCTCTATCATGGTTGAAGGATCGGGGTGAGCAGAATGTTCAGGTTTATACGGACTGCCTGACACTACATCGCTATCTTACTACACCAACTATTGTGCTGCGCACATATCTAGGCTATGCCATTGACACTTGCAGGCTTATTGCATCTTCGTTTCAGTCTTGTTCGTTTCATTTTATTCCTAGAGTAGAGAACCATTTAGCTCATGCTTTAGCTACTACGGCTTATCAGCAGACTGCAACTATGTATTGGGATCTGCTCCCACCGGATATTATTTCGGCCTACTTTTAATGAAGTATCATAAAATTTTTCAAAAAAAAAAAAAACAATTAATAATTAATAATAGTTAAATAAGTCAAAATTGACCTATAGGCCAATTTTTTACCAAACAAGGCCATAATTTAATTGCAACTCTGATCTTCTTTAACTTTAGTACTCTTAATAAACTAGGACTCTACTTTTACCAGAATTCGTCCAGCACTAGAAGTTTGTTAAGGGAGGTTATTCTTCTTGTATAAATACAGTCATCCGCCGTGAATTTCCAGAAAACTTAGTCATCATGTATAATGATAATAACGATAACGATGATGCATTGCCATCGGCGGAGGAGAACATTATGCCGGCGGATTTGGGAAGGACAGATGCGGCGGGGATGACTGCTTCCCCCGCCTACTACTCCGGCCGCTTCTCCGGCGTTTCCATTGTGGGAAATCTGGTTAGCAACACGTTGCTTATCAAAGTCCAACCTACGATGATGCCGTGGGTTATCAAAGTTGAACATATGGGTGAAATTTTGAAGATCAAAATGTTTGTTCTAGGCATGAAGAGATTGAAAGCTGCAGTCTTGAGGAGAAGGCCGCAGTTAAAAAAAAAAGAACGTTACTTAAGTTCCAGTATAAGTGGGTGCACGGGCAAATGATTAAAGTAGTATCTGATGAACATTTAAAAATATGCTTTGAATATTTCGAGAGAATGAATCAAATAGTTAGATTGTCACTTGTGTCAATTTTTTACTAAAACACTTGTGCTCCGATCCTTCCATTATTTTCATAGATGAAATTGATTCATTATGTGGCCAACATGGTGAGGGCAATGAGAGTGAAGCTTGAAGACGCATAAAAATCGAGCTCCTTGTACAACAGATTTGATACTTTAATTTGCTGCATAATTTCACTGATTTTACTTGATTGTGTTGCATTTTGGGGTGTTGGACATAATGATGAAAAAGTTCTTATTCTTGCAGCAAGGAACACTCCTTATTATGCACTGAATTTCTAATCAAAGCATAAAGCATTTGATTATTTATTTTGATATTTGATGAATGATGAGTGATGACTGTATGTCTGTATTAGTGCATTTCTATGACATTACGATTGCATTTTCGAAGCAATGCAATAGCCAACAACCCAATACGTACTTTGACCCATATTATTGACCCGCAATCCATATTCCCCAATCTAGCCAAGCTTGCCATCTTCGAGTTGTTAAACCATAGAGTAGAGTCCACCTTGCAATGTGAACTATGGTCTTAAACGACGTATAAATTGTATGTTTTTACTATTGGAATTGTGAAATTCTAGAATATAAATTGTGTTTCTAAGTTAAAAGACATAACAACTGTAGAAGGGAATTTGTGAATACAATACGGTCATCAAATGTGACAGTAGACTGCAGTATTTGAAAGGAACTTATGAATACAAAACAAAGTAATAAATTACATATATGTTAACATTGTGTGTTCGTAGTATACAAATTATGAAATTTTAAAGATAAATTATGAACATTTAATATATAAATTGTAAACATTTGGATTCGGGTCCACCTTGCAAGGTAGACCCGGATCAACAAAATAATTTGTGGCCATTTTCCTCGCGGTGCACAAAAACTTTTAGAGATATTTTCATATTTCAAATGGCATGAAGTGATTCTCCAAATGAGAGGTCATATGTTTGAGCTTCAGTGGGAGCAATATTGACTCTTTGTGCTTCAACAGCCTCAGTGGGAGCAATATTGACTCTTTGTGCTTCAACAGGTTGAGAAAGTATTATGTGAACAAATACTATATTATGGAGTAGTACTAAAAAAATACATTTCTCTCTCTTAAAGCTCTCTCAAAATGTATCAAAATTGTATTTGTAATTTTAAAAAGAGTTAATTACTGTTTTGGTCCATCGACTACGGCGAAAGTACCAAATTGGTATATAAAATTGTTTAATTTCAGTACTTCCATTTTTTTTAGTTGAATCTAATAACTCCAATATTATTTTCCTAAAATATATATTTTTCCAATTTTATAATTTATTTTAATTTTAATCATTTTTTTTATAATGAGATCCCTAACATGTATCCCCAATGTCCTGGTGATACATGTTGGGGATCTCATTATAATTTTTCTTCTGATTCACTGCAATTTTAGTATCTTGATGCAATCTTACTCTATATAATAGCAAAATGTTTTTGCCATGTCATTTTCCCGCCTAAATGAAATGGCATCATTCCATGGTATAACCTTAATTGCTAGATTAATTGTGGTTATTAATCACAATGAGTTTTAAATGTCTTGGGAAAAAATAAAGAATCATTTATTTACTGTATATAGTTTAATTTATTAATTTTGAATTATGTTATATATATATATATATATATATATATATATATATATTATTTAAATGTAAAATTTTAAAATATCATGTGATATCTAATAACACAATGCTTTATAATATATGCTAATAGTATGTTGTAATGTTTTAATATAACAACCAATTTAGTATTATATAAAAAAAAAAAAGTAACATTTCATAATTAATTTTAGTGATTGGGGTTTGAATTTTATCAACAATAAAAATACTTAAATTTTATACCGTGCATCGCACGGGACAAATACTAGTGCACCTTTAAAAACAGAACCAATTCATCCTTTCCCAAAAAGACAATAGGCATAGTTTCTCATCTGTGTTGAATATATACTATAAATTAGGTGTATCGTTTCATCAATGTCAGATGCGTGATTCTAATTAATTGACCAAAGTTCATGTTAAATTTTGTATTGTATTTTTTTTTTAATACACTAACATATTCATAGTATATGTTTATGAATTATGTCAATGTTGATTGGGATGAGTTCGAACATAAAGACCTTATGAAAATCAATGAGTAAGTTAAAAATAATAAATAGTTAACAGAATATTCCGTTACTAAAGTTTACACTTACGGAATGTAGGGAAATTTAAGAAAAGTAAATAATATAATAGAGGCTAAAATAGGAAAATTAATTTTAAAAAAAATACTAAAATCAAAATAATATGAATCATTCATTTCAACAAACAATTATACCAACATATTTTTGTTCCAGGTAGGGACCTAACTTTATTATCTCTTATTATATTTGTATTTGTAGATGTTGATGTCGTTTTAGATCTGTGTCCACATTATAATTAAGGAATAAGGTCCAAATTGGCCACTGAACGTAACCTGGAAATGCAATTAGGTCACTACGAAGAAAAAAAAATTGCAATTAGGCCATTGAACACTCCAAATGTATGCAATTTCACCTTATAGCAGGTTACCATCAATTTTAGCAGGTTACCTGCTTATTTGGCAGCTGAGTTGGTATTTTTAATAATTTTTAATAATAATTTTTTAAATAAAATAAAATAAAATGACGGGGTGGGCCTTCGTTTAATTTTTTTTTATTTAATTTGTTTTTAATTTTTTAAAAGTAATTATTAAAATTTATTAAAAATGTCAACTCAGCTATCACGTAAGCAGGTAATCTGCTAAAATTGATGGTAACCTGCTATCCGGTGAAATTTCATACATTTGGAGTGTTCAGTGACCTAATTGCACGTTTTTGGAGTGTTCAGTGGCCTAATTGCGTTATTTTTTTTCGTTCAGTGACCTAATTGCATTTTCAGATTACATTCAGTGGCCAATTTGAACCTTATTCCTATAATTAATATACATAGAATAATTGGTTGGAATACATCCTTAACAAATAGGATAGGAATCACAGGATGTCTTGGACTGAAACGCTAAAAAGTTTAATATGTTTTTCTCTACGTTGATAATCTTTATACGGAGTTCTAATAAAATGTTTAAAACTAAATGAAATTATAAAGTTGAAATATATATATATATATATATATATATATATATATATATATATATGTATGTATGTATGTATGTATGTATGTATATTAGGAAAAAAAATATTG